TATAGGTTTATTTTATTTCTGTAGAATTGTTAGTAGTACCTGTTCCCCACCCCAACTTTATTCAGCCTTTACTATATTGAATCTTTTTTTCTTGATTTAATCAAAAGTTGTTCATTTTGTCAATCTTTTCAGAGGGTTTGAATTTCCTTTTTTGTTTTTCTGTTCTCAAATTTGATAGCTCACTGATAATTTTCCTTCTATAAGGTTTGGGTTTAGGTCATTCTTTTTCTAGTTTCTTAAATTGTAAACTTGAGGTTTTTTTTTTTTAGTTAAGTGTTTTTATCAACTATAAATTCCCATTAACACTACTTTTGTCATCCCATAGGTTTTGCTTTGTTATTTTACTTCAAGGGCACATTATTTAAATATGTAAATGTTTCTTACATGTTTGATAAGTCTTTTCATTAATGTAGACTTTGTCTCTGGTAATCTTCTGGAAGTCTATTTTGTCTGATAACTATATGGCCATCTCTTTTGTGTTTTGGTTACTATTTGCATCAATCTTTTTCCATTTTCTTAATTTCAAGCTTATGTCTTCGTATCAAAAGTCAGTCCCTTGTAGAGAGCATGTATTTAGATATTTTATATAAAAATATTTATTTATGCATACAGAACTGGGGTACAGGCCAGAGGTGCAGGGTAAGTGTATTCACCAGAGACAGATTGGGGAGCAGAATAGGCAGATTGACTGAAATACACTGCTAAGGGAAGCAGTGGGCAGGTCATTTGAGGTCTGCTGTGCCACATGGGACACCCCACTGGCCAGGGATAGAACTCATGCTACGTGCTGTAGTGGCTGTTGGATAGCTTCATAGTGCTGCACTTTAACCCATTGCATCACCAGGGAGAGCCCTAGATCATATTTTAAGGTCCATTTCACCAGTCTTTGTCTTTTGATTGGTAGTTAATTCATTAAAAAAAAATTTTTTTAGTGTGACATTGAAATAACTTTGTTTCAGGTGTGTGTCAACAATTAAATGTCATTATTCTGTTTTTTTAAATGCCTTATTCTTTGTTTTCCTCATTTTCTGTGTATCATCTTTGTGTTTACTTGACCTTTTGTAATTAAGCATTTTATTTCTCTGTCCACTTTCTTTTGAATAGGTCCTTCTTTGTGGTTACCATGAGGGTTGCATTTAACATCCTAGAGTAGTACCACTAATTTTAATTCATACTTCCTAAATTTCAAAAGCATATGAAAACTTTGCTCTTCTATAATTCTCTTCTTACCCCCTTTTAGTTATTGATCACAAAAATTACATCTTTAAGCAGTCATATGTATGAAAACTTAGACAAATGTACTTTTATACATTTGTAGTTAATCATCAAAGTCATAATACTAGCATCTTTAACTGCCCATGTATATACCTTTACTAAATTTTTTTATTCTTAAATAATTCCAAACTGAGGAAAGCCAGTTAGCATTACCTGTAGAGCAGATCTGTTACAGGGCAAACCAATGTGAACAGGGTTGCCTGTCTTTGGGTTCAGTCCAACATCTCCAGTTTTAGATTCCCAAAACCCCAAAATGGCTGCTTAATCCTGCCCCATATCCCAGCACTCCTCCCTCTGGTATTGCTGGGATTCGTAGTTTTGGTGTCTGGAATGGGGGTGAAGTTCACAAAACCTGTACCTGTAGAGTTCTTTCAGGACATCCTTCCCCCTAACAGGTCCAGTGTATAAAAATCAAATTTTATTTTTCTGGTAATTTTTTCATTTCGCCCTTTAGTTTTTGAAGAACACTTTGAATATATCATACCATTGCCACTGGTCTCAAGTTTCTTATGAGAAATCTGATCTTTGATATGATGTGCCTTTTCATTGTTGCTGTTTTGAAGTTTCTCTTTGGATAGTTTGTGTATTTTTCCCCCATGATTCATCTATGAGGAAATCCTGCAACATTACCAAAGAATATTCATCAAATGCTCTTTTAGATTTTTATTTATTCATTCTTCATTTTGTGCATTTTTCCTTCTCGGTTGTAATCCCTATGACCTTCCCAACACTAGTTCACCACCCATGTGCCATCACCATAGCCCCATGCAACGTTTCCACTCCATTTTTTATCCTATTTCCCTCTCCACCTTCATAAAATGTCTCTGGTATATAGTTGTTCATTGTTTTTCATCTTTTTATTACAATTGCCTCCCCCCACCCCCCGGAACCCTTACACTTCATGCTAATGAGTGAAACCATCTGGTATTTTTCTTTCTGGCTTATTTCACTAAGCATGATCCCTTTCAGCTCCATCCGTGTTGCTGCAAAAGGCATGAGTTTACCTTTTTTGATTGCTGAATAATAGTCCATTGTGCATATGTACTTTTTTTTTTTTAAGATTTATTTATTTGTGCATACAGAACCAGAGGCACGGGGATGGTGAGAGGATTCACCAGAGACAGAATGGGGAGCAGAACAGGCAGATCGAGGTACACTGCTGAGGGAAGCAGCGGGCGGGCCAGGAGAGGTCTGCCACGCCATGTGGACCACCACCGGAGCAGGGATTGAACTCATGAGGAACTGGCTTTAGCTTCTTAGTGCTGTGCTTTAACCCGCTGTGCCACCAGGGAGGGCCCATATGTACACTTTTAAAAAAATTTGTTTGTTTTTACATCATGTTGTGCCTTTTGCCACCTCAGTTGTAATCCCTGTGGACTTCCCATCACCATTTTACCTGTGTGCCATCAATATAGTCCTGTGCATTTCCTACCCAACCCCCCCCCCCATTTTTTTATCACATTCCCCACTCCACCCCCATAAAATGTCTCTGGTATATAGTCGTTCATTATTATTTCCCCCCCGTGTACCACATCTTTTTAATCCAGTCATCTACTTTTGGGCATTAGGGTTGATTTTGTCTTCTCTATTGTAAATAGAGCAGCAATAAACATGAGGGTGCAGGTGTCCTTTTGAATCAATGTTCTTGTGTCCTTTGGGTAGATAGGAGTGGGATTGCTGGGTCATATGGAAGCTCCATTTTAGCAGTTTGAGAAACCTCCAAACAGCTGTCCATAATGGTTGTTACTAGTTTGCATTCCCACTAGCAGTGTAGGAGAGTTCCTTTTTTACCACATTGATTGTGTATCTTTATGAACATCCCTTTTGAGTGTATCCTGTTTAACATTATCTTGATATGTACTTTCATGTCTTGATTCTAAGCTGTTGGCCATTATTTTAACATCATCTCTATTAAGTTTTCATTTTTGCTTCTGGCACACCACATGCATTCCTTGTTCTGCTTTTGATGGTGTCTAACAAATCTGTTTACTTTTCTGCCCCTGAAGTTGCAGATAGTGTAACTTCAATTGTGCTGTTTTCAAATTGTGCTTTTTCCTGCTCAAATATGCCATTAAACTCCTTTACTGCACTTTTTGTTTCAAAATGTTTTTTTTAAAATAATTACTGTAAATATTTGTGCTCATTTCCCTGACTTGCATTATTTGAGCATACCTTAGTGTGTATTATATTCAATGTGTGACTTGCTCATAGTCAGTTTCTATTTATTCTTTTGAGTATTTCACTATTATGATTAGTTCTGGCTACACACCTCCTCCTCACCAGGTTCATATTAGCTTATTGCTGGGACATCCCTCCAGTACGAGGCTTGTTGAGTCTAGGTTTCAGACTCAACAGACTTCTAGCTTAAGTAAAAGCTTAAGGTATTTCTTCTTTTCTGAGCATACATTTTTGCCTGGACATGAAATGTGACATTCTAAATCCCTCTGTAGTAAATAGCTATTTTAAGTGTCCAAATCCAAGAGATATAAACTCTTTTTTCTCTGGGTCTTCTGTGGCTAGCCATGTATTCTTTTGTCCCAGGAATTTCAGTCTGTAGTCACTTTACTACTTTTATAAGCAGTGTCTGCCACATTTCCTGCTTGATTCTCAAGTTATGCAAAGCCAAATCCTTTAACTATGAGTTGGACATCAGAAAAGATACAGTAACTTGCAATTAAATCCTATTCAGATTCTTCTGGTTTGAGGGAATTGAGACTATTGCTCTTTAAGAGTAGTCAGTACTTTACACTGTGCTGGAGAGATGTGGGACAAGGTAAGTTAAAAGGTTCAAAAGCTTTCCCACCATTTTAAAATTTTTATTACTGAGCACTGTCTTGGACACTATAAACTTTGTTATCTCGTGTTTGAACAAAGTTGGTCTAGGCAATTAATTGCCTTAAATTTTTTTTTTTTTACATATAACTGGGGTGTAGGCCAGAGATGCGGGGGGTAGGTAAGAGGATTCACCAGAAACACAATGGAGAGAGGAACAGATTTTACTGAAATACATGGCTTAAGGGGAGCAGTGGACATGACAGGAAAGGTCTGCTGCTCATAATGGGTTAGCTTCCTGGCCTAAACTCAGGCCACAGTGGTGACAGCACTGAAACTTAGCCCACAGATCACCAGAGAAGTCCCTGCCTTTTTCTTCTAATGTTTCTATGGGAGACAAGAGATTGGTGCATCTTCGCCTACCATTTTGCTGTCATCATTCAGGTCAACTACGTTTTATTCCTATCTGCAATTCTGGTGTCATGGCAAGATGTAGAAATTTTAGGTTATCTGTATGGTAACTGAATTTTGGGTAGTCACATTTGGTCTCAAATGTCTCAATCTGGCCATTTACATTTAAAATCACTGAGTTATGTTTTCCTCCAATTCCTTGTAATTATGAACATTATCTTGCTGGTTGTGATAGTTACTGGAGAATAACTTACACGAACTATTTGTAAAATGAAAATGCTCCACCTGTTCTTATATCCACAATTAAATGAAGTGCATTGCTTCTGCTAATGTTTTCTCCTTTATGGTAACATTCTTATAAATTAATTGTGGTACAGGGTAGAAATGAAATGTCTAAAACACAAATAGTATGTTACACAAGTATCTATTCTATTGCTCCAATATTAAAATAACTTTCTGGTAATATATCCTTTAGCGTATAAATGTTAATTTCCTTCATTTAACAAGGATGTTATTACTAATATATAGCTTTATTATTTTAGGACTCGCAGATTCATACCCATTTTCTACAAATGAAAATCAAACCAGTTATCTAATCTCACAATGTTCAATCAAAAGGATTTGGCGTCTTTATGAAAATGTATGGTAAAGTCAATCTAGGTTACACTGTGTGTCCACACTGTTTGTAAGAGCAGGTTTTTTCCTTCTAAGTTTTTGTGGATTTGGATATTGGACTTACATTTTTTGGTGTTCACTTGTGTTAAATTTGTATTTACATATAGTAAAACTTGCTACATGGCTTCCTTTACTAGGTTAAGAAGCTAGCATATTTGCCAGTGATCTGGGTTTAAGCAAAGTTGAGAGATCTGTACAGTAGAGTACTGGATTCCCTTTATCAGTATAGGTGAATGTAGATTATGTAACTGTGTACAATGTATCTACTACTGGTTTTAGTCCCAAGATTTTCTTTACTCAGCCTCTTCTCCCCTTTATATTCTATACCAAGATTACAAGCTAAGGCTAAATATACTGTTCATAACTGTGAAGCCTGACCTCTGAGAAACCCTATGTCACTCTCCAGTATTTTGTGGAATGGCTACTAGCTAACTCCTTTGGTAAAATGGCCTTAACTTGAAAAAAAAAAAAAAATAATCCTTTGAACTTCAGGCTTGTTTTGCTACTATTTTCAATTTCAAAATCCCTTTACTAGTCAAACAACTCTGATAACATCAGGGACAAAGGAAGTTTATGAAATATCCCTCCTATGCTATGTAAGCATATCCAAGAATCCAAATTTTGAGATATTAGTTTACTTGACTAACAGAAAAATTAATAGAAGATCTAAATGTTTATAGATTAAAAGTTCTATGCAAACTTTTGATTGAACTTTTTGGGAAACTAAGATACAGAATAACCATAAAAAAGATTTTGTAATATTAAATAGCAAGAGAAAATTTTTTGAGGTAAATAGTAAAGTCATAAAAATATAAAAACAGAATGTCATACTTACAAGTCTGCTAGTGAATTCTTGGAAGCACTGACCATTACAAAAAATACCATTTATTAGTTACATTGTATTAGGTAGCATATGGTTATCTGAACTGTAAGAAGGGGTGAGGGTGGAGGGGGACATGGCTTAGGCAAGACAGAAATCCACATTTCTGTTCTGTCTAGTAAGCTCCTGTGGAGGTAAAGCTGTTTAGGCTAGTTAGGGCAGCACATCACCAAGAGTAGAGAGACTCAGCCTCCTCTCGTTCTCCTTCCACGATAGTGTTGTCTCTAACGTAGAGTTCAAGTGGGCTTCATAGCCTATTTATAGTAAGTTTTCAAGAAAGAGCAAAAACCAATCACAGCGTTTGATCACTACATATTTCCCTTTACATTTCACTGGCAAAAGTGATTTGCAAGGGAGACTGAGAATGCAATGTTTGTTTTAGAAAGCATATTCCTGGATAAATATCTAAAGTTCTCTCATTATATGAAAAGCCAAGATGTTAGTACTCTGCACTAATCTCATTTAAATTCTGTATAATTGAAACCCAAACATAAAAATCATTTTACTGAGAATAGCCAGAATGTAGTAATTGATACCTACTAGCCTGGTTTCTGAATAATTGCTTTATTTTCTTTATTCACTCACCAAAAGCAATGAAATACAAAACATTATCTGAATTGAGTTTCTGACGTATATTTTATTAATAGCCAAACCAAAATAAGGTGACATAGTTGTCTGGTCTGCCAATTCACCATATAGAACTAGGTGGAGAAAAAAATTTCCTTTTAACAATTTCTTTATTGAGGGAAAAAGAAATTTTCTTTCCTTGTAAAGTACTAAAATACCGATTAGGCAATTTATTTGACTAAGCAACTTTAGAGTACTAAAACAAAAATAGTCCTTTAATTTTTACCAAATTAGTAAAAAGTCAATACATGTTAGTTTCTAAAAAATTGTAGAGAATGATGCCATTGCATATTTTTCTCCTTTACTAAGGGAGAAAAACATCTACATGATTCTGCTATAAGATCATCTAACAATTCAGAGGTAGTCATGGAATGAATGTCTTCAGTCTCCACCCTACAGATGAACCCTCCTCCAGTCTCCGTGGAGAGGACTACTGAAAGTCTTGTAACATAGCAGCTACTTATGGTACAATAGACATAATCAGGATGTTTGTATCTGATACAAAAAGTTCTCAACTCTGGGTCTGTATTACCTTATGTACAAAATTGTCCTTCATCTAATATATTAAAAAACAATTTCAACATAAATCTTTAGAGAGTCAAAGCTACAAAACATACATAAAAAGGTACTGTTGTCTGAAATACATATATCCCAAGTTTCCATTTCCTAGAAAAGGCAGAGCCTCCAAAATTACATATACGAAATCCCCTTTACAGGTGGCTTTATTTAGGTGACCCAAGATGAATGAGTGCCATTATTGTGGTATAGCTATGAAACAGATCATCATCCTTCACCTCATTACCCTTCTTCAGTGTAAAGTTCCCAGTGACTATTCGATCACATCCAATTTCTCCATTTCCAAAGAAGCCAAATAAAGGAACACTAGGAAAAAACTTCCTAAACGCATCAGCCTCCACATTCCTTTTGGCTCTGAAATACTGAAAGCCCCTACCAACACATGCGAACATGAAGCCGATGGTGTTCTGTTCTGGAATGTTGGCTGATTTCAGACGCTGTATGGCGGCCTCGGCAGTCTTCTCATCATTGACGTCCTCATTGAGAAGCACAGTGGCACTCTGGATTCGGTGCCCACTAAATGACAGTCCAACCACACCAGTGGCATCAATATCCAGAGGGTTCCTGTAAAATTCAGTTAGAAACTAGAAAGAAGGCAGTATATTTCTCATGGTAAAAGAAGAGAGAAATTCTCGGACTCACTGGTGGGGAGTTGCTTGCCTTAGCAGCATGCAGCTAGTCTGAGGCTCACCCTCCCCAACAAGACTGGAACAAAGATTAAAGTTCAATTACTGAAAACTAGTACCTTTAAAACAACTTAGAAGGCAGATCTATGGAGAAGTAAGAAATTACCTGTTCAGTCACAAATACAAAGCAGCAAATGCATCTCAACAATGATTTGTTAAAATCCAGCATGGGTTTTCTAAACATTAGAGTATCATTACCGTTATCATTCCCTTACTTTATTCACACACATGACAGGCTCCACTAAATGAAACTTTTGGTATAGTCTGGTACCAAACTTTTCAGTCTATCATCATTGTATCTCACCCCCTACTCCAGCTGTCAAATTCTTTAAAAGGTAAATACTAAAATTCAATCACAGTGGATAGATTTATTAAGAACCTATAACTCCAGATGTTTAGCTTTATGTTGTTTGCTCTAAAAGTAAATGTAATTATATTGCTCTATGTCTTATTTAATCCTTTGATCCTAGAATTCAATTTATGTGGAGGTAAAAACATGTTTTCATTTCTACTGGCCTGCTTTTATTTTAAAATATTTTATCCTCACTAAAAAAATATAAATATATAAAGTGTCAATAAATTTATAAAGCTAACTCAGTGAACACCCATGGTGGGGGTGAGGGTGATGAAGGAGGGACAAAAAAGTAACTTACATTTAAATAATAATCTAAGATTATACTGGCGTATCAAAATTTAAGAAGTGGAAGTGACTAAGATAATAAGACTAGTTAGTTGCAAAACCAGTTCCCGAGGGTCAGGGTCCATCTTCTGAAGTACTCTGTTGTTCTTTTGTTTCCTCTTTGGTGTACAACTGTAGTACATCAATCTCTTGCCTCAAAGATTTTATTTTTGGGGGGAGGGGAGTTTGATTACAATGGAACACTTATTTACTTACTGGCTTCTCTTACCCAATGACATATAAAGATGAATGAGTCCTCTAAGAAATAATGATTGGGGGTGTACTTTATCATAATAAAAACTAAATGATATACTAATAGGCTACCATCTCAGACGTTTTGTCTGAAAAACACATTGACATTTCAGAAGTAAATATATATTAAAGCACTACCGTGCTATTAGTATATAATTTAAAGCAAAGAGGAGAAATAACATAAATTAACTAGCAAGAGCTGGTATACATATGCATGAAATCCAATGTTTGATGTTCTGTTGCTTTAAGTTAAATACACTTGGCTTTTTTTCCCCCCACTGGTAGTCCAGGGATCTTGATTTTAATAAGGATCCCTGGATCTACCTGGCAGGAGATCAAAACTTAGATGATTTAACAATGGTTTGGCAGACACTACTTGCTAGATCCAAACACTAAGCAAATATAGTAAGAAACAAAGATTAAGTGTTTGTAGGAAGAATCTGGGGAGTAGAGGAACGAGGACACAGGGGCTTCTCATATTCCTGCTTCTGATAATCTATGTTTATGCCATTGGCAATTTATAGCAAATGACATTTATACCTACTAATTAGCTTAAACTCAGAATACTGTATTTTCAATCAAAATTGAAAGGGAGTAGAAAGGATTATTTATATTAATGAATGCATAAGCATTAGTAGCAAGTCAAAAACTTGCAATTTCTGAGCTTTAAAAGGCCTTTCAGAAGATCTAGTACAGAATTGTTCAAAATGTGTGCCAAGTAATTCCAGTATGCCTGCAAGGTACTTCAAAGAAAAAAGGTTCTGCGGATAAATGAATTTTGAACTACCACTGATAGTAATAGTATTCCTTCTTCAGATTTCCAACTCCATGAGCATATTAGAGGTTCTGAGATTCTTTAACCACAAAGATTCACTGTTTAACCATACATTTCCTTTAGAGGAGAGAGAGTTAGAGGGGAAGTGACATTAACGTTACAAAGAGTACGGAGCTGTCAAGGGAGCTGTGTAGATAATGTAGACAATAGCAGATAATATTGAGGTTTTAAGAGTGTGCATCCAACTAAGAATAACTTCTTATATGAATTGCACTATTCAAATTCAAGTAGATTATATTGAGTAAGCCTCTTAGCCTGTAGCTATTAAAAAATTAAGTGAGGGCTCTCCTTGGTGGTGCATTGGGTTAAAGCACCACATTATGAAACTCTCTGAAGCCACTGCAGCGTGAGTTTGATTTCCAACCAGGGAGCTGACCCACATGGTGCGGCAGACCTCTCCTGACCTGCCCACTGCTCCCCTCAGCAGTGTACTCTGTCAGTTGGCCTGTTCTGCTCCCCACTGTCTCTGGTGAGTCCTCTCACCCACCACACCTCTGGCCTGTACCCCAGTTCTGTATGTATAAATAAATCTTTAAAAAAAAAAAAAAAAAGTAGGTGAACTGTCAGCTTAGCAATTCTTTAAGAAAGACCCAAAGTAAAAACTTAAGAACATTTTCTATCATGCACAGAAGTCTGAAGTACATTTGACATACTTTTCAGAAGTCAGCGACACCAAGTTGTCCACCTGGCCCCCAGCCAAGATGATATTCATGTTACTGAATGTGCTGACTACTCGCTGCATGTAATTGCTGGCTCCTACCCTACAGCAATTATAGCCAAAAACAAGGACCACTCGAAGTTCAGGGTTATCTAAAAGACCTGCAAAAAATGAACAGCAAGAATTAAAGTCAGTCATAAAACAGATTTTTAAAACCTAATTAAAAAGCATTTTTATACAGCCTGCAAAATAAAAATGTTATTGCTAACCACTTGCAATCCTAATTAAATGCATTTTAGTGCTTAAGTTGTCAACTTTCCCTTGAAAGCTTTAAAACTATTCAAAATCTTTGCAACATTTTTCCTCATAAAAAAAAATATCAAATGGCTGTTTAGAAACTAGTAAGTCAACACAATGCGAATAAGAAGGCAGCTATTTAAGTGAATGCCCTAGAACTAGAAATGTTACCTAATCTGGAAAAGGGTCTTTGCAGATATAAAAGTTGAAGATCCTGAGATGAGATCATTGGGAATGTCTAAGTTGGTCCTAGATAATATGAAAAATCTCCCTACAGCATACACACACAGAGATAAACTACAATCAGATGCGATGTTGACAGCAACCAGTAGATGAAGGGACCAAGAACAGATTCACTCCTGGGGTCTCAAAAGAGTGCTGTCCTGTTTACACCTTGATTTTAGACTTCTGGCTCCCTGACCTGTGACAGATTGTCAATGGTTTCAGCCACTAAGTTTCTTATGGTGCCCAGGAACCTAATAAACCACTATAAAACAGGCCTTATCTACATTTTCTAGACAGAAGATAGAGGTGAATTAATGATATGGAAATTCATTTCAAACCATGAGCAATTCTGGATATGTGGACAAAAAGCTTACCACTAGGAATTGGCATAGTCTTAACAAGAAAAACAGGGGCTCCAGCAACGACCCTGCCAGCTCCTGGCTTTCACCTGGTACCCTTTTTGCAGTCATATCAATTTGAGATCTTGCCAGCATTATATCTAACTGGACCACATAACTCCCATATTGATAACCCTGAAGTGAAGTTTTCTAACAAAATATAAGACTAAGATCCTTAACAGAAATAAGGACAAAGGTGGGACTGAGTGACCAGTGACTTATACCAAATGATGACATCCCAAGAGAATATTTTCAATTCTCTACACAGTGAACCATTAATTTGGAAAGTTTTAAAAGGTCATGACAATACTTTCATGACATCCTCTAAAACATTATTAAAAGTTGTTCCATTATGGAATATTACTCAGCAACCAAAAAAGAGAAACACATGTCTTTTGCAGCAACTTGGATGGAGCTGGAAAAGATCATGCTTAGTGAGATAAGCC